AAAGCAGCAGAGACTGGCCCAAGTCAGCGGGTCCCACAGGGAAGACCCCAGGGGACCCTGCGCCCTGGCGTTACCTGCACTGCCGACCCCACAGCTGGACGATCTCTTTCCCTCTCACTCCTTTCTTTCTGTCTTTTCCCCCCAAATACATTGATCAATGAGAAACAAAAAGAACATTTCCAAGTTTATGAAACACAGCTAAAGCACTGCTGAAAAAGAGAGCCCTGCGCGTTTGCAGCACAAAAGGAAGTTTGAAAGCAGGACTCACACCTGCCTCCAGCTAGTGGAAGCACAGCGGCCAGAACAGGCAGAAGGGAGACGGCAACAGGGTCACAGCCAGGAAAGCAGTGAAGCAATGTGAGAGCCTCCACAAAGGAGCGCCCGCCCGGCTGTTCACTGGAGCTCGTGGGTTCAAGCCCCAGGCTGGTCTCAACACCAGCTTCCTGCTCATGAGCACCCCAAGAGGAAGCAGGTGCTAACCCAGGTGTCTGGGTTCCTGCCACCCACGCAAGAGGCGCAGGGCAACTCATGGCTGCTGACCTCCACCTGACCCGGCACCACAGCTGCTGCAGGTGCTTGCACAGTGAGCGGCAGACGGGACATCTGCCTGCCCGCCTGCCTGCTTGACTCTGCAGCATAAATAAAGGCATTGTTTTAAAAGTGCTGACACAGGACATGTGTTAAACGACACAGATGTCATTGTCACAGTCTGTCACCACATGCCCTTGAAGGTGCCGACAAGGTCCCAAATAGCCCCCCGGTTCATGTGATCACTTAGAGGAAGTGGACCGTTGCCTGGAACAGCACAAAGTAGCACAGTTCACGTCACCTGAAGCAGTTTGAAAAGCTCGGAGCTGTGAACAGAGCATGTGTGTGACGGCTCCAGTCTCTGCACTGGAAAGCATCAACTGGGATTTTAAAGAATTGCTGCCAATTGCCTAGACTCTCCTCCAGAAACTAGAAGAGGTGATCACATCGCAGCTGATTTTACAGACCTAGGTTCCCTGCCCCCAAAAACCAAAGACCACGCAGACGGGCAGCCGCAGCACAGCACCCTCACCATCCTTTGCTCAAAGTGCCCGCAGCTAGAACTCTGAGCAACTGGGCACCGGGACCAAGGGGAGCAGGGACTCGGCCAGCTCATCCCCACCCTCACGACTGATTCTGAAACCACTGCTTTAGATCAAGCACTGCGGGAAAAGATTCTGGCAAAATCTGACTCCCCTTCTTTTTTCTAAGATTGTTTTTATTTGAAAAGCAGATTTACAGAGAGAGAGGTGGGGGGAGAGAGAGCAGTGGCCGCAACGGCCAGAGCTGAGCGGATACAAAGCCAGGAGCCACTTCTGGGTCTCCCACATGGAATCAGGGACCCAAGCACTTGAACCACCCTCTGCTGCTTTCCCAGGCCACAGGCAGGGCACTGGATCAGAAGAGGGACAGCTGGGACATGCTGCAGGCAGAGGCACGACCTAGCATGCCGCAGCACCAGGCCCCTGATTCCCAATCTTCACATGTCTCAGAAATAAAAGCAGAATATTGTGATGTGATCGTCTTCAAGACCCAGAGCTGAGCTACCCTAGTGGAGAAAACCCAAAGGATTCTTCTCTGCCCCCAGGAGCTGGAGAAAGACCAAGACGCCACTCCCAGGCCCCACCTCGGGCTAACGGGAGGGCAAGGAAGGCTTCCTGCAGATGGTAGCAACAAAACTCTCACAGCAGAACCCAGGCCCAGGTCATACACAAAAGCCAGTTCTATCCGCACATTCTCCTGCGGGTCATTGGAGACCAAACTCCCCAGTGCAGTGAAGCCGTTTTCACTCTGCTCCTTCAAGCACCTGAAATCCTTGTGTGCGGATCTAACAGTTAAGTGTGCAGGACCTGGTACGCTGGCACTACAGAAGCCTGAAGCCAGAAGCCAGAGACCCCCGTGGGCGTGGCTCTGAAGACCCCCCAAGGAAGACCTGCCACTTGACACATGGACTCAAGCCTAGACAGTGTTATTCTAAAATGTGGAAAACAAATGAGAAGTCCTCTGCTAAACTAGATGAAGACAGAGAAGAGTCAGTCTGTCTGAGTTCCTTAGTCACAGGACTAGACACCGGAATCAGTAGAACAGAACAATAATTAAAAAGAAACAGAATTACACCCGTATGGAGACACCCAGCTGAACTTTGATAAAGAGTCAAACCAATATAATAGAAACAGAAAAGCTTCTTGGCCTTCTAGCAATTGAAGAAAATTAATCCAAAATGTGAAAAAAAAATCAACAACAACAACATCACATGGGAAATGTAAGAAAAAAATTAAAAATTTCAGGATCTAAGGCATGGGGAAGAGTTTTTTTTAGATTTAGCATCAAAACCATGAGCCATAAAAGCAAAGACTGATAAACTGGACCTCATCAAAACTATGCAGTTTTGCTCCATGAAAATATCTGCTTATTGTCCCAGGATCAAAACACCAGCTACAGATCTGAAGAACATGGGTTCATGCCTAGACTACATGGCAACTGCGAAGGGCTCACTCATCCAGACTGCACGGAGCCTGTGATGAGCTCAGCAGGCGGGTCCAGGAGCACAGCACCACGAGGATGCCGCATCTCAGGCAGAGGGCCTTGGTTAAAACCCAGCCCCATCTCTGACCCAGCCTCCTGCAACTGCCGCAACCCAGGAGCCAGCGGTGGCGCAAGTGACTGCCCCAGGCCATCCACAGGGGACACCAGTCTGGGTTTCAGCTTCCTGCCTTTAGCCTGGCCCAGACCCAGCATTGTGGCATTTGTGGAGTAAACCAGTGGACGAAAGATTCTCTTCTCTCTCTCTCTCCCATAAATAATTTTTAAAAAAGGAAACTTTTCAATCAAGCAATTAGATCCAATTAGAAAATAAGCACAGAGCCACGAGGCCGCCCGAGGATGAGAGATGGCCAGAGCACACAGGGCGACACCAAGATGCGAATTAAAACCACATGAGCTATCACGGTGCACCTGATAGAATGGCAAAGAAAAAAACCAGCGAAACACCACATTCTGCCAAGGATGTGGGAAGGGCAGAGCTGCTGCAAGTGCAAAAGCAAGGCAGAACAAACCCTCCAGAGTTAAGGCCGGTGGTGTCCATGGCGCATCCGGGCACCTACCCCAGTGCAAAAGCTCACCGCAGCTTTCTCTGCAACAGCTAAAGCTAGGGGCTGGTCCAGAGAGCCTCGGTGCAGCCCACAGAGCACGACTCGGCCACAAGCCTCAATGCCCTGCTGGCCAGGAGGTGGCTCAGACCCACCTCTGGAGAATTGCATCAGGCCACAAGAGCCACGTGCCTTGCGGTTCCATTTACAGAACCTTCTGCAAGTGGCAATTGCAGATTCAAAGAGCACGTCAGTGACTGCAGGGGGAGAGGCGTGGGGGGGTGTCAAGGGAAGGGCAGGGGGAGGGTGTGGCCCTGGGGATCCCTGCAGTTGAAGGGTGGATGCGGTCCTGAAACGTGACCATTACATGGTCCACACACATCTCACAATGTGGAAGAGGGCTCACTCTGGCTGGCTCCTTTCAACCGCAGGGCAACTGAAAGACTGATCGATAGAAACAACAACCACGAAGACGGCCCAGAGCCCAACAGTGACCCCAGCGCCCTGAGGCGGCACCTGCGCTCCACCCAAGACTGGCCCCAGCTGTGAGCACCTGCCTACCGCAAGGACTGGGTTCCCCACACTTGTGCTCACAGCCCAGCTCTAGCCCTTCATGGAAAGGCAACGTCTGGTGTCTGCTCCCAGCGGGGGCAAGCATTGGGGCTGGGATGGCCTTGCTCCTGTGCACAGACTGCACTTTCCGACCTACAAACCCTGATTTGAACGATCGCCAAGCTTGCCAACCATGCCACCATCTCCTGCCTCTGAGTGGGACCCATGAACCTGTGTGCAAGGGCAGGGCGAGGCCATGGACACAGCGGCTTCCTCACATTGATCCCAGGTGGGACAAACTCCCTGGACAGCCTCTGTCCTCCACTGCTACCCCGGAGTCAACTGGTCTGCTCCAGGCAGGCATGCTTTGCCCCTCACCGGCCAAGGGCTGCCTCCCCTGAGCCCCTCCACCGCGCACTCAGCTGCCGCAGCCAGGGAGGCCACAGACCTGGGACCCATGCTGTGCTTCTGAGTGGCCCATGATCCTGCTGAGTGCCTCCTCTAGGCCAGGACAGCCAGGGAACTGGCAAAAGGCAGGGTGTTTCCGACAGGCCTGACGTCTGCCACATTTTGCCCAGTGGGCCAAGGTCGCTCTCTGAGTCGTGTCCTGCCCCACACTGTGCTTTCAGCAGATAACATCTCTGGTTTCGTTCTTACAGAAAGATTTGTGACGGGAAAGGAGAGGTATGTCATCTCCCAGAACGTGGCTGCCCTGCCTCTCTGTAACCCCAGCTATTTCGGGTGCTGGGAAGCCAAAGGCATGCATAAATAGAGGTTGTGTTGGCCCCTGTCAATCACGCTGAAAAATGCTACCCCTGGGGTGGGGGAAGGGGCTGCCCAGAACTGCTACAAATAGCATATCTCCCCAGCACTCTAATCTGAAGCTGTGTGTGCACGCACACACACACCAGCCTGTCCCTCCAGCCACAAAATGCAAGTTTCTAACCAATCCACACCTATCCACACCCTAAGTGTAGTTGGATTCATTGTTGGGGGACAAACAGCTCAGAAATCAATAAATTCCTTTATAAATGTTTCTAGTCCTTAACAGAACAAGGATTACGGACCCCGTTTCCAATAATTGCTAGGAATCTCAAGAAATATTTTGACAAAGGCAACCAGTCGTGTTGAACACACAAGAAAAGTACTGAAGTGGGTCAGACTCGATTGCAAACAGCATTTCTTGCTAAGTGTGTGCTTGAGGACAAATGCACCATTAAGAACACATAGATCATTCCTGCCAAGGTGAAGGAGCTGCACGTTTAGAACAGAGAGAGACAGAGAGATTGGGAACCAAAGTTAGAAGCCCATGCCAGGGAACAGCTCACATACCTTTGTGGAGAGAGACTGAGTCCAGCCAGGCGTGCCCAGTTCCAGGCACAGATGGCCTAGCCCTGAGAAGACAGCCACAGCCTCAGGCAGGATGGGACGGCCTCACCGAGCCGGGAGCAAAGGGGCCCTCCCGGAACCTTCCGCAAGGGGCCCCTCCCTACGCCCTGCAAAACTTCAGAAAGATGCCCTGGTGCTCTGGATCGTGTCCTGCTAAGCAGCACTGCAGAGGACACAGAGGGGCCGCACCTGCCTTGGAAGACAGAGCCAAAGAGGGCAGCCTCCCAGGGCTTGCCTTTGAGCCAATTCCACATCAAGCAGAGACGAGTAGTGGCCTAGAAGACAGACGTGGCAGAGACAAAACTCAGTCTGGCTCAGATATAGGAAGTTGACTGTTTGTTATACCTTACCTTAATGTCACGGTAGCAACCTTTAGAAAACAGGAAGAGAGAGTTAGAAACCACCCAGAACCACATTTAGGTCTCCGGCGATGGTGGCTCTCAACCTCAGAACTCATCGAGGGGGACTGCTGTGCAGGAGCCCTGGTGCACAAAGCCCTCGGTCAGCGATCGGACTGTTCTGTGGAGGTACCTGAGCTGAAGCCCTGGGGAGTCGCGGTCCTGCAGAGGGGGCCTGGGACGAGCCTTTCCAGAGGCCCCCCCTGGAGCATCACCCCAGAACGAGCCTCTCCACAGCAGGACACTTAGTTTACGATTTGAAGGGGAGGACATTGCATTCATTTTATTTTATTTTGCAAACATTATCGTAATGCTGACACTTTTTATTATCCTCAGACTTTGTCCTCAAGAAAGCAACTCATTGTGCTCCCCAGCACCTCTAGTTTCATCAGCCCTGCGACCCTGACTCTGGAAAAAACACCAGGAAGGATGAGGAGGCAGGAAGGGTGTTCGCTCTCTCTGGAAAGCATATTAGCTCTACACGGCAGAGTCTGCGAGGGAAAAGGAGTCTCCAGACCCAGACCTGGGCAAGAAGAAGGAACCGGCATTGGGACTGGGAGGCAGCATGTGCCGTACAGAGTCAGAGCGACCAGGCCTGAGTCTCTGCTGCCTCTGACCTTGTCACCTGCTGGAGAGAGGGGGGCTCCTCTGCACCTCTCTGATGTCACCCCCCTGTGACATCCGATCGGGGGAGGGTCACTTTAACCTGGCATGGTGAGCTGGTTAATCCCAGATCACATGGACTGGCACAGATCCACTTTCTGCACACTCCAACACCGTGAGCGGCAGGCACAGGCGGCGTGCACTCAAACAGGAAAGAGCTCATCCACACCACGTGGCTTCCCCACAGCTCAGCAACCAAGGGGCAATCGCCGGGCCTGGGGGTCTCCCAGCATAGGGATGCCTACCCTTTTCCCATCACTGAATATGCTAAGGACCATCCAAGGCCATGCAGACACACACACACACACACACACACACACACCACACACCACCATGACACCCAAGGGAAGACAGTTATGGGGAGTTCTCCTAAAGGACATGACAGCCAAGTTGGGCCTCATGGGGCACATTAGAATTTGAGGGGCAGAAGCAGCAGGCAGTACAGAGGGGAGACAAACCCTTATAAGAGCTTTGCTGGCCTAGAAGGGGCCAGGGCAATAGGACACCCGTGGCGGCAGGCAGGAGGGCAATGGGACTGGAGGTGTGGCTGGCACCAGCTGGCAAAGCACCTGGGGGCAGGGGAGAGGCTCTGAGAGCCCAGGAGCAGTGCATCACAGGACAAAAAAAATTACAGCAGAAGGGCAGCAGGTTCCCTGCGTGGCTGCCATGCCCGCACCTCTTACCAGGGATGCCAACTGCTCCCAGACTTAGCCGAGATGTCCCCAGGAGAGAGGGGACACCCCTGAGGCCCCTTGGCCTCTGGTCTCCGGGTCAATAGTCCTAATGCAAGCCCTCTTGTGCTTGAGCAGATTTTAAATTGTTTTGAACTTATTTAAAAGGCAGAGAATCAGAAACAGATCATCCATCTGCTGGTTCACTCCCCAAGATGCACGTCCCAGCAGGAGCTAGGAACTAAATCCAGCATTTGGGCCATCACCTGCTCCCTCTCAGGGTGTGTGTGAGCGAAACACTGGACTCAAAAGTGGGACAGCCCAAGACAGGCTGGGGTTTCCCAAGCAGTGTCTCCACCACTGCAGCCAGTTCTCATCCCTGCATGCACGTCCCTACCAGCCAAGAAGCTTCCTGCGCAAAACACACTTGATAAAGCAAACACATTTTAATTAAAAACAAAAACAGCGGCTGACTCATGGGTAAACAAAATGTACTAGTGCTCTAGGCTGAGGGATCGTCAGCAGTGAAGGGAGCGGAGCTGTCATTCACACCACGACAGAGGTTACTTGCAAACGTGACAGCGACACACGCGCCTGAGCGCTGCAGGAGTCCATTCAAGGGAAAGGTCTAAAACAGGTACTGCCGGATTGGGAAGGGGAGGAAGCCAGAGTCACTGCCGAAGCAGACGAGATTCCGCTTGGCATGATGAAAGAGCTCGGAGACAAGGACCTCAGAAGTGTGGACCTTGAATCAGAGTGAGGGGGTAGGCACCTGGGGCAGAGGTTGAGTTACACCCCCTCTCCCCACAGCAGACGTCCTGGCTCCTGGCCTGCCCCTCTGCTTCCCAGACAGCAGAAGATGGATCATGACCTTGGGCCCCTGCCACCCATGCAGGAGACCCACTGGAGTGCCTGGTTCCTGGCTTCAGCCTGTCCCGGCTCTGGCTGTGGTGGGTTTCTGGGGAGTGAACCAGCAGATGGAAGCTATGTATGCAAAGACACATACGACATAGAGATTACTCTTTCAACTAAGATGAGAAATCTATCAAGTCTGCTGAAGGCACGGGTAGGGCTGGGAGCCGCACCTGCACAGGACAAGCGGTGGCTCCTCTTCTCATCTTCCCAGCTCCTTGCTGTGGCTGGAGTCTCTAGACCAGGTGCCATGTGGCAAAATCACCAAAGAAAAAGCCAAAGAATTTTCAAAGGTTGAACTTGCTTCCTTAGGCCTTACTAAGGACAGAAATGACAAAGAGAGGTCCCTCACTGGCCAATAGTAAGGTCCCTCGGCAAAGCACCGTCTGTGCAGACCGTTCTCGAAAACCAAATTATCTAAGGCAGCCAAAATGAAACGGGGAAAGCCAGAAGAAGCCCCCGGATCCCTGTGTGTCCACGAGAGACACCAGTGGAAGGACCACACTGGACTGGCCTCACGTCCTGGAAGGGGCATCCCAGCCAGAAGCTGCCACCAGGAGGAACAAGAGGGCCCTTGCCCGCTTCTGGAACTTGCCCCTAAAGGTACAGTCTTGCGCCAGACACCCCCGAGAGTGGGGGCAGGTGCCAGCTCTCGCAGGGCTGTGCAGCCCCACGGTGATGCCCCGTGTCACAGGCCTGGATCCCTCCACCGCTCAGCCGTTTGGCCATGTCCTGCTGCCACCTTCCTCTTGCCACCCTGGCAACCCTCTTCCAGGAGCATGCTAGGTAAATGCCAGGAGCAGACCTGACACAATACTCGTGATGCTCACGGAGCATGGCTGGGAGAACCAAGACCAATCCACACACGTGGTGGCCTCCTGTCTTACAGCTGCTGAGCTTGCGCCCTCCCCCTGTACCCCAGTGTGTGCTAGGTACCAGGTGGACCCCCTGTGACTGCTGTGTCTGTGTGTGCAGTGTCTGACCGTGCCTGGGAGGACTCACTTGCCTCAGCCAGGTGGGCCCCACCTGGCCTGCCAAGCTTCAGGGCTCTGGCCAGCCATACGTGGGGTGGGGCTCACAGCCTCCCCCTGGGGACACACGCTCTCCTTGCTGGGGGCCAGTGCTCCTACCCATTCTCCCTTGCACAATTCTCTGCTTGTCATGATCACAGCCCTGACGTGACACAAGGAGCAAGGCACAGGTGCACGGCCGCGTGCTGACAGCGCCACGCACGCAGCAAAGGGCCCCTCCTGAGGGTGACCGCACGTGCACCCCACACAGTGACCTGTCGGCATGCTCTTGGAGCTCCTCACACCGTGTTTTTAGTGAAAGCATGACGCCTCCAGCCACCTTTTGATTAGCCATGGTAATGGGGGTCAGGCATCAGCTGAATAATTGAAATGGAAACTCTATTCCCACTGAGCGAGTTTCTCTCCCTCCACCTCTTTCCTTCCTTCCGCAGCCTGCAGCCCAGAAGAGGGGCACTGTGGGAGCGTGCGAGGATGCTGGGCCGGAAGAGCCCGCTGGGCCTGGCTGGACCTTTGTGACTGACCCCCCGGGTGGGTCTTTGGCGGAAAGGGCTGAGCCAGCGCCTGCCACCTTCCCGTGGCCACCCTTGCCGCCTGCCGTCCTCACTCCCAGCCTGCGTCTTCCTGCAGCCTTCCTCTGGGCACTCCTCTCTCCCCAGGCTGCAATCCTGCCCAGTGTGATGGTGATAACGTTTCTGCAGCTCCGTTCTAATAACTCCACAAGGGTTACGGTTCTGTTTTTGTTAAGAAAAGGGTGTAGGGCTGGCTGGAGTCTGAGCATAGAGAGAAGTTTGTGGTAAAACACACACAAGCAGGACTTTGCCCGTGGGCAGGTGCCCTGTGAAGGGTCCCAATCAGGACGCATGCCCCTGGGGACCCTAACTGCTTCATTGGGCAGGGGTCACAAGCGAAGCGGGGCGGTCCAGTGTGCCCCTGCCACTTCTCCATAAACCTTAAATGACTGGAAAAAATCACAAGTTTAACAACAAAATAAAACAATAAAAAGGCCCCTCTGAAGATCAGGAAAGAAGGTGAGACGTGAACAAGAGAAACCCGAGCCAGGAGAGTCAGCCTGCCTGGCTGGGGACCCGTGCGCGTCACCTTGAGCCGCTGAGCAACAGGAGGCCTGGGCTGGACGGGGACGGATGTCTCGGCCACACTGGGGCAGAGCACAGAGGGATGCTGTGTCACCCTCACCGGTGGCCCAGTGGGCATACGGCAGACAGAGCCTTGCCAGGACCGTGTCCTTCAGCCCACAGAACACTCCCCAAACTGTCCCCGCGTCACCTTCTCGGACCTGTTGTCAGCGCAGCGGCTGGGGGTTATTTGGGAAATCAGCACGCCCCCCTCTTCCTCCCCACTCCTGGCCGTTCTCTGGCCGGTTCTGAAGGTTGAGAGTGAGGCCTCCTGCCTACAGGGGGGCCATGATGGAGACAATCTCTGGGGACAGCTACAAGGCCAGCTTGGGGCCCGGCGCACCCACTGGGCCCAAGCCCAGGGGCCACAGTGACATCTCTGAGTGACAGCAACAAAACAAGAGCCAAGGCCCGGCACCCCTCCCCGCAGGTCCCCACGTCTGCCCGCAGGCAGACGTAACGTGGCACCCGAGCCATCAGGCTTCTAATCACAAAGT